CTTAAATAAGTAAAATGAGTGCTTTGAAATAAGCTGTGACTGTTAATATGTAGCACTGGATGAAAAACCCAATAAGTGAGCCAAAATGTTTCTCTGGATTAGTAGATTATAACAAGAAGAAGAAACCAGGCAAAGCAACATGCAGTTCTTTACCTGTTTGGAAAACTGTCCTGTATCCAGATGTAGCCATCATTTCTCAAACCTGTGGAGGGAGTGATGGCATGCAGCAGTTGATACAGTCCTGAGTTGTAGAAAGATCCAGTACATCTCATTGGGAATGTGCAAAGTTTTCTCATGGGATGCTGTTGGACGTAACATAAATTGTTCTGCAGGTTTTTCAAACAGCACTGTTAATTTTGGACAGACCTCTATGGAAGTCCAGGCAAGTTTTGCTACTGTAAACATCTGTCTTTGCTCTGATTCTGATGTTGTTTGCTAAGAAAGCAGATGTGCTCTGTTTTCAGTCTTTGATACCAGTTTTCATTTATCTAGATTGTAAGCAAAAAACCTTCTTTCATAGTTAAGAAATATTTTCTGTTTTCTCTGACACGATTTACTTTAAGACCTGATAATATTTCCTTCATTTTTGTGTGGTCATTTCAAAAATAGAACAAGTGAAAGCCAAATGGAAAACCTATACTCAGCATTGGTCTAGTAGCAAGATGACAATGTGAGTTCTTACACAGGAAAAAATTAAGTTGTGAGATACAATACATGTGCAATCTTAGATGGAATAATCTATTTGTAGTTGAGTGGTCCAAAAATATGAAGGTGATCTTTAGACCTGTCGATGATAGTTAAAGTTTTAGTGGACTTTTTTGATGTGGAAGATAAAAAGTCACAGGAATTAAAGAAAAAAGGGTTAGGAAAGATTAGCAGGCTTTTCAAAAACCTGAAAAACAGGATAGGAGACATTTTGACTTCATTTACAATAAGGCAAAATGTTTCTAGCATCCAATCAAAATTTTATGTGATTAGTTCTTCTGTTGACTTTGAATTTTTTTTTTTTTTACTCAGCATACAATTCCTAAGCATTTTCCTAAACCAATTCCTAAGCAGAATAGATTTTGCCAATGATTGCGTTGTGATGACCCTTTTTCTTCCATTTTTTCCCACATTTCCAGTATTGTTTTTTATTGTTTTTCTGCTAACAATTGACTAGAATAAATTTCTAGACTATACAAAAAATTATTTTTAAAAGTACAGAGAAAATTATATTAAAACCACAGCAGAGAGAGTTATCTGAATTTCTCATCCCTTGTTACTTTCCCTCTGTTTGTCTGACATATCTTTGGATTCCATGTTCATCCTGTCACCCTAAGCACAATTTCACATAATGTGAGTATCAGACTTGCAAGATAAAAAGCTGTCAGTGCATCAGTTCTGTTCTTTGAATTGCCTCACTTTTATGATGTCACATAGGTATTACATTTCATTTTGGGGAAATTTTCTTGTATTTTTGTCTTATTATTCTTCCTTAAATATAATGAATTTGGTGTAAAAACTCTGAAAAAGCCTCTCTGATAGTCAAGGCTATTTAAGTCATTTTTAGCAATATATTGGACTAATATAAAATATGGCAATTTATCTTGCTTGATTAGGATGTCTGTGTGATTTAAGAACATACTAAATTACAAGATTATGGATTTTTGACTGAAGAAATTGTCCTGTTTCATTTATCATTTCAATATAGATTTTTCTAAACTGTCCATGATTCAACTCATAAACCATAATGACTTATTGAATCTTTGTTACTGAACCAGCAGCCACTAAGTTAACTAATTTGTGTCACCTTTTGATTTTGAAGAATGAGCTGCTTGAGGTAAGTTAGAAACCAGGAATGCAAAAATTATCTTTCAAATGGAATGTGAATCATAAATAAAATCTGTTTATCAAAATAAAAAAAAAAACAACTAAATAAGATTAAAAAGTAACTAGATTTTTGATTTTATAAAGGAGAATGCTATGCACTGTCTACTTGTGATTAGCATTTTTATCTGTTCATCGTGTGTCTGTGCTAAGCATTTCTTTTCAGAAATGAAATTTCTGGAATTTCATAATTTCATGAAGTGCTATATGTGCCAAGTCCCCATGTGCAGCTACACTGAGATACGGTCCAAAACCCTCAGTCATATATTATATTCATCCTGTATTTCAGTCCATATATATGCATGAACTAATTTTGTGACTTATAGTCCCTTTTCAGTAAATAAGTTTCTCTAAGTTTTTATAGGTCAAAGCTTTTTTAGAAGTCAGAACATCTCCCAGTAACAGAAATGTTTCAAAAATGTCATCTACTTTACCACAAAAGTGAAAATTTTCAACAGTTTCTCACTTTCATTGTATAAAAAATTGCAATATTTTATTTAATTTCACATGTTTAGTATGCTTAGATAAACTGAGATCACTTTAGGAACTTAAAAGTTATCCCAACTCTCAGAGTTATCTATTAATATAGTTATCAAGTATTTGTTTGGTTTTGCCTTGCTTTCCAGAATATAGCCTGTGCTATTTTAATCCACACATGTGAATATGCACATGCACTCAAACAAACTTGAAAATGTTCCTAATTATAATCATACAGCCTTCGCTTTACAGTTCCTCTCTGTGTTGAATAGTAGGTATTGAGCCTGAAGGAGAAATGCTTTTCTGTTAATAAAATTTTTGGTACAGCAGGTTGTCTGGAAAATCAATCTGATTTTTCCTCATGATCTACAGAGACAAGAGACAAATATCTAAGGGACCAATTGCCCTAAATTTCGTGCCTACTTTAGTATTAAGTCAATCAAATGTGGAATATCAATACATCTGCACAGCATGAGTGACTGTATCCTGTTATTGTGATGAATAGTAGATGTAGAAATATGAAAGAGAAAAACACTAAGAAGGGATTATGTACAGTTTTACAGAGATATTAAATATCATCAGGCAAGATGATATCTTACTGTGTGTCCAATTTAAATTAAAGAAATCAAGATGAAACCAAATTAATTCAATTGAATTGATTTTGAAGCGCAGATGTCTCAATTCCTAGAAATTAGCGATTATGCATTTTCTTCAGTTACAGACAGAAAATGTGCCGAACTTCTGCACATAGTAGTACAATTTGTTTATGCTTACACACCTCTTCTGTGTAAATCCACCTCGGTCACTGAGATCTAGAGACTGCAATCGAGTCGGAGGGAAGAGGATCTTATTTATGGATAGCATATGAAACAGCAGAAATGAGAGAAATTTGAATAAACATTGAATTGAAATAATTTAAAACTTCTTTTACTTTACCAGTTAGTTGTTTGTTTGTTTGTTTTTTTTCCTTCTGAATTGTTATTCATTCAGGAATGAATGAGATTTCAGAGAACATGTCTTTTTAGTTATTGCATAAAAATACAGTGTTTAGCATTCTTTTTGATGGTTGAATATTATGGTACAGATCTGTCTTCTTTTTGACTTTTATAAACTTGGTCACCAAACAAACAGATACTTCAACACATGTTCTTCATTGAACCTGAGACTATATGACATTTTTAGTGTTTGATATTGACAAAATAATTAAGTACTGAGGTGTCACTGTAGTAATAGAAAAATGGAGCTTCTCCCTGTCACTGGTTATAGACCATAAAATATCCAAAAAACTGTGACAGAGACTAGTAGTGTTGGTTTCATACAGGGGGATTTCGAAAAAGCTAATAATTTCCAGTGTGTAATGATAAAAAACACAACGTACCCTGTCCCCCACCCCAAAAAAAAAAAAAAAAAAAAAAAGAGAAAGAAAAAGAAAAACAACAGATACACTATTATACAGATGCACTATTATTGAAGAAATTTTGCTGAAAATTCTCTGCCCAAAAGTACGGAAATAGCCTAGTGTAAATGTCTTTTCAAAAGGTACATAGTATTTAAAATCTGAGAGGATAAATCATGCAGTAAAAACATTAATTTTAGGGACATGCATACCACTGGTGCACTAAACAAACTTGTTGCCTTTTTTACCTTTTTGTTACATAATTATTACCATTTTCCTTACATTATTATTACTGACATATAAGACAATGCCCATAACTTGTTACTGTAGAGATCAGTTTCACAGAGACATTTAAAAATAGACCTATCCCATTAGCACCACTGTATGAAATATGGGTTGAACTATTTTCCGTAGCAGTAGTGTACCCATGCACACAGGAAAATGTATTTTATTACTAATGACACTGTTATAAGTCAAACATCCCATGATGTGTCTATCCCTGTTCAGTGGTTCTCCAGATGTTGGCATAGTGGTGACTCCTGTTCTTCTACTCTTTAAGAATTTGATATTAAAGAACTCAAAATTAACAGAATAGGTAGGAAATTACACCCTGAAGAGAGCTGGAATAAGTTCTAGTTCAAACTTCTGTGTCAGAAGATCTGCTGGTAGTGGTAAGGGTCTACAGCACTCTGGTTACCTTTTAGCTGTAGATGAAGTCTGTTCAAAGTAGTGACTGAAAACAGTCTGCTAATCTATTGCCAAGCAAAAAAGTTCAAAACTCCTACAAAGAGATTTTCAGGCAGTAAAAAAAATATTGACCTTAATTAATTGAAAATTAAATTTGTGACATCATATTGTTTAATGTGTAACTGTGAACTTGCATGTGGAAGCTCTGTCTATGTTGCTGTATAGTAGCAGCTTCTTGACTTAGAATTCCTGACTGGTGGCTCCTTACACTTCACTTACATTAAATTTCACTGACATGATCTGTCAGCAAATATGTGGAACAGTCCTCTAACATTACTGGAGTATGTGGTTTAGGTTTTTTTTTCTTTCTAGTACAATAAGTATTTCTTCTCATGTTTTTGCATTGCCCTTACAGGCATCATTTATAAAAACTGCCAATGTACAATATTGTATCTGGGGTTCAAGGTTTGCAGCTATATTAAATTTGACAGACATCAGTTTATGCATGTGAAATACTTGCAACAAATGAAAATTTCTGAGAAATTTTCAACACTATTGATTTTTTTGTCAGATAGTCTACATGGGCTGGACGGAAGAACGGGAACAAGACTCCCTTCAGGACCGAATGTACACACCAAAGTTTCTAGCACTGAGGGGTTCTTCCCTGTATAAATTTATAGCACCTCCAGTAAGTATGCTTCTTATGCTTAGTTGGAATAAATTTTATTAAATAAAATAATGTTGTGTAATGTGTACAAGTCTTTCACAGTGAGATACCACTCATTGGGCTAGCAGGACTGTAACTAACAGCATTGAAGAGTTCCAGAGTGTGTGGTATAGAAGTGGGAGGAAACAGCTCTTCCTCAGATGATTTGGTATCTAGCAAGAACTTATTTTCCCACACTTCAATGAACGCTTAAAAAAATAAAAGAGAAATCTGCTCATGTTAAAAAGGAGCTTTTAATTTTCTTTTGGCAGACAGAACAGGCCCAAAGCAACATGGTTATATTTAAACTGAACAGTCATTCTAGAGAAACTGCTGAGATTTGGGGAAATATCAAAGCTTTTTACATGCTGTAGAGATGGCAATATGTCTCTATTTAGATTCCATCCTGAATGTAAGTTTTTGCTGCTTGAGAGCACCGAAAGGAAGGTAGGGAATCAAATGAAATTGTTTAAGTTAAATATATTAATTGGAATCTCACTGGGAACACCAGAGAAAATTTTAGCGCTCGTTTTATACTCAGCAATTTGCTTTCACTTTCTTATGGTACATCTAAGATGCAGTAAAGATCCTCTAGCTAACTTTTAAGCCAGTTGCTAAGGAGACAGTAGCAGTCCCATCCATGCCTGCAGCAGGAAGAGTCATGTGAATTAATTTGTCCTCTTTATTGGGTGACCTTTCTGACTGCTACTACACCCTGTGTTTGTCAGATCCAGGCTGTAGCTCCTTCCTGCCTGAAAAAGAATCATAAAATAGTTTAGGTTGAGAGGGAGCTTTAAAGGTCATCTAGTCCAACCTCCTTACAGCAAGCAGGGACGCCTTCAGCTGCGGCAGGTTGCCTGTCTGACCTGGTCTTGAATGTTTTCAGAGATGGGGCATCTACCACCTCTTGGGGCAATATCTTCCTGAGGTAGCTCAAAGTCATCTTTCAAATCTTTAGATTGATCATCACTAACTGTTGGTGTTCATTTAGCAAACGGTTTAAAAACATGTGAAAGACATGGGGAATGGAAGGAAGTATGAACTGAAAACCTCATGTGTTCAATGTTTGTAGAGTAGTTCTTGGGTGTGGGATTTTGTTTCTCTCAGGTCTATTAATTAATTTTTCAGGGTCCGATTAAAATGTCAGATTAATGGTAACAAGCACCTTAATTCAAAAACATCTCTTCTGTCTTTGCCAGACCTACTTGAGCATTTGCTGCCTGTCAAGTAAAATCAACTCCATTCTGGGTACTAGATAGAATGAGAATCAATGATGAGAAATCCTTTTCAATACCCAAGAGGAATATTATTCTTTTCTAAGAACCATGGAAGAGACCACAAACCTCTTTACTGAAGAATCATAAATTTATAGGAATAATATACTTGTAGGGGGTAAATGTCTGATGGGGGGTGAAAAATGGGTGTGAAAGGAACATGTTCCTATGAAGAGTCTGAACCATGGTAACATGAGTAAGGAAGATCTTGGCAAGCTGCTATTGTATAAGACAAGAAATTCATCCTCAAGTTTTTATAGCTCTTGTCTCAGCTTAGCTGCAAGGACAAAATGAATTTGTATTGCCAGATTCTGATTCCTAGTCTAAAATAGAAAAACTGTTCAAATGCAGAGAAAAATATTTTCTCTTCATGGAGTAGGAGGGAAGCAGAATGATAAGCATGCCTTTTTAGGACAGAGCTCTTACAGAGCCGCCTTAAAGAGTTAGAATCATAGAATGTTTATGTTAGAAAGACCTTAAAGTTCATCCAGTTTCAACATGTAATGTATATAATAATTTCACACTTCTAAAATCCTGTTTTCTGTACCCAGACTTTTACACATACAGTTAAATTTGCTACTCTGAAGATTTGTCTCTTCCAGGGATTAGAAAATATGAACAATATTTCAATGACAGTTTCAGAGCTTCTTTTTAGGAGCTGTATAAAGTGTAGTTAAAATAAAAACTGTTTTAATTATATGTGCAGTATAAACTGCTTGGACAAAGTTGTTTTCTGAAAAGAGATGTCCTACAAACAAAGATGTCTTAACCAGAAAATCAAACAAAAGTATTAGCCCAGTCTCTACCAAAGACTAACACATTAGGAAAGCATGTGTTTAAACGATGTCTATCAACAGCCCTGCCTCTTTTTGTATCTTTTTGATCAATAGTACTTCTATTTCCCATGCTCAGCTAAAAAGAGCAATCCTAGTGTTTCTTATTTTCATTTTGAAATTTTTAAAGAAAATTACTTCTTTATTGTTATTTTTTTATATTATTTAGTGGCACATTTCCTTCTTTAGAATTATTCATTCCGTCAGCTCTGGTGGTTTTCAATTTCTTCCAATTTATAATTGGAAATTTACTTGAGAAAGAGCCACTAACATCCTTTCTTTTACTACTCAATATTTCAAATTAAAACATTAAAAGTGAAGGGTGCAGCAATTTCTGTGGGTGTTTTAATTCTACAATTGCTTTTGTTTTGCACATATCTTTGTACAGAAGCAGTTTTGGTTTGACCTGAAAAGAAGTCCCTTTACAGTTACAAACAAAATCAGGAAACCAGGGGAGAAGAGGGAGCTCTTATATTTCCCCCCAAAGTATGGAGCCTATAGTAAATTTTTAAACATAACTCCAAATGACTTTGTGCTTCAGGAGCAATAATAATGACTTTTCCTCATGGCACAATAGGACTTCATCTGGTGTGACTGGGTATTGTGGGCTCAGTGGGGCTGTAGAAAGGCTCCTCTCCCCATTTTTTTCTGTTCATGGTGAAAAATTTATCTTTTTGTCCATAGGAGAAAGAGTAGCTTTGTGATTTAGTACCCACAGTTCAATAAGATAGTGAAGACTACATTTCACTATGACTACAAGTAAAGAAAATTCTAGCAGAAGAGGAACTATAGCACTGTGTTTTTGAACTTTTCATTCATGCCTGTGATTTCCTTAAAGGACGTTCCATTACACCAATGTTTATAACTAAAAATTAGTTAGATGTAGAATTTTATCATAAAACATCAAAATAATTTTGATCTATTAATGATTACTTTCTCTTTAAATAAGAAATAAATTGATTTCAGATAATATTTTGTTCTTTGGGCTCTAGAATATGTTTTATCAAAAATTTTTCAAAAAGTTTATCCTGAATCTGATAGAAGCAGTAATGTATGTTTTCATCAACCTCTTCATTGTGTCTAACAAATTTAATGATACAGCTGTCTTCCTTTAGATATGGGCCACTGTCCAAAGTTTCTTACCATTAAGATAATTATTCATTCATTTATATCCTCAATTTAATTCTATTTTGTGCCTTCTTCATTATTTTTATTATTTTCCTATTTTCTGCTTGCATTTTCCTTGGAAATTTTATTGCCTTAACTCTTCCCTTAGTGAATATATTCATCTATCCCTTTATGTCTCATTGAAGTCTTAACACCTACTCTTCCATGATTTAATTTCATTCTTTCATATGTGCATTTTTCTGTGTAAAACAGTTGCCTAAAATGAATACAGTTAAAAACAGTTGCCTAAAATGAATACAGTTAAAAACAGTTGTGAAATCCCAAAACAAAGAGGAAAAAAAATAGGCTATTCTTCAAATCTTAGTTTGTTAGAATTTAGGAGTAGATTAATCTTGGTAAGAAGAAAAGACTAAAATGAATACAGTTAAAACCAGTTGCCTAAAATGAATACAGTTAAAAACAGTTGCCTAAAATGAATACTGTAAAAAACAGTTGTGAAATCCCAAAACAAAGAGGAAAAAAAATAGGCTATTCTTCAAATCTTAGTTTGTTAGAATTTAGGAGTAGATTAATCTTGGTAAGAAGAAAAGAAAGTGAGTATATATAATGTCGTTTCATGCCTGTTTGTTTTTTTTTTTTTTTTTTTTTTTTCCCTTGGATCCCCCTGGTAAGTGTCTGGGACATTGCAAGGTTGGACACTGTTTTTATGGATTTGCAAATGCTGTCGGTGATTGGCAGCAAATAGTGGCACGCAGTTACAAGGAGGAAAGTGATGAGAAGCATGTTTTCTAACATGCTGGCTCTGTGAGATAAAAATTCAAGGGCTGCATCCTCTCAGGATCTCACTGCAGCCCCTGCAAGTTCCCAGGGGAAGTATCATCATTTTGCATAGAGCAGGCTGCATGCAAAGGAACTGCATTGTAAGGACAGGGAGGACATCTCCTCAGCATTGCCTGGATGGAACAGTCTGGTCCTTGCTAGTTGTTGCTTTGAGGCAGTGTTTGGTCTTTCTGAATATATTTTAATCAATGTAAATAGTTCAGGGATTTTTTTTTGGCTAGTAAACTTAATTATTAAAAAACAACAAAAATAACTTAATTTCTTTTTCTGTTTGTTTTGTGTTTTGTTTGTTTTTTAAAGGTCACAACCTGGGATTGGACACGAGCTGAGAAAACATTTTCAGTTTATGAGATAATGTGCAAAATTCTCAAGGTATGATAAGAAAGTATAAAATAAATTGCCACTTTGACAGACAAAAGCATAACACTAACTACCTTCTGGAAAGACATCTATTTTTTTTTCCCTTTAAAGTCAAATATCAGAAGTTCTGGTGTCAGTAGGTACAGAATCAAACTAGAAGTTATGGCAAAATTGGAAGTAAACTTATTTTGACTAGGAAACAACCTTATTTCTCCATATGCTGTATGGGGTTTACAGTTTCACTTTAATGTCACATTTAACTAGTGTAAAATTTCCTTTTCTAACTGAGGACCTAAAGAAGCAGTGATCGGTTTGGTTGTTTTCAAATATGTTGATGGAACTAATAGCAGCTGCAATGTATGATTTCACTAGGACAAAATATGCAATACCCTTCTGAAAACTTTTTCTTATTTTTTCCATTTTCTTCAATCTGTCTGAAGTGTAATAAATGAGAAGAGATAATGATACATGTTTAGAAAGCTAAAATTATGAGTAGCAAGTTAAATAAGACCATTATCGTACATTGTTTCCAATTTTTAATTGGGAATTCAATCAGAATTCTTTTGTATAGTCTTTTCTCTGTTTTAAAAACAGTGAAAAACAGATGCTCAAAATTTCTCGAATGAGAAGGAAAATAAATGCATTTTCCTATTCATGTGAAATGCTTTCTGGTTTATGTTGGTTTTGGGGATTTTTTGGTCCAAATTACATAAAAGGTAATTTTACCATTTCTTTCATTTTATCTAAGCAGAGGCAGACTAGTATCAGCAAGAAATATGAAAATACCATGCTTTTTAAAAGTGTTTTCCACTGGGAAGACCTTTTACTGACATAAATGGTACATTTCTTAGGTTTGTAGGTCACATAGGTGCACTATATTTTCCTTAGGGAGGTAGATTAAAGTTGCAATGGCTCAATAAAATTTGGAAACTTTTTGCACTTGAGACTTAAAAAAAAAAAAAAACAAAAAAAACCCACAAAAACAAAGAAAAAAATCCCACCAAATTTATAGTCTGAAAAAATTCTCTTTGCTAGCGATCTGAACTGAGAAGTGAACAGTTTTCTTTTACTGCTATGTTGGCTGTGAGGTCTGGAGTCTTCATCAAGGAGTAGAACCTGCCAAACACAAAACATCCCATCCCTGTGGGATGTCCTTCAATTACCAAGTGTGTGCAAATATTGGCTCCCTAGCAGTGCTCATGTAGGAAGAGGAGGAACAGGACAAGTTGTACATGGTAAAGGCATTGCACTGAGGGTGTAAGTGAACAATGCTCTAAGAACACAGTCAGGCTTTGATAGAGTTGAAAAATATAATTTCTTACATGCACTTTTTTCCCCATTCCCTTTGGTAACCTCTGAATCCTTCAGGCTTTGGTCTTAATGCTATAAGCATCAAGGTTCTTTGTCAGAGAACTAAGTGCTTTGGAGCCAGGATGACTCCTCCTTATGACTTATCCAAAGATTTTTTCATACTCTTTGAATAGAAATTTATGGAATTTGTGCCATATAATTTTTTGTAATTTACAGGTCCTTCTTTTCTTTTAGCCATTTGCCCTTGTTGATGGTCTTAATTCACTTGCAATTTTTGCCATTTTTCTTTTCCCGCTTTGTTCTGTGTCTCCTATTATTGTATATCAATACATTAGCTTTTTGGTTTGTTTTTGTTTCTCAGCCATGTAACAGAAGTTATTACAGCCAAGGAGACAGTCCACAAAGCAGTAAAAACTAAACCAGTGTCTTTCTGGCACTGTTGTATGGAAGCACAGAAAAGAGTACAAATATGCTGGAGTTTTTTATCATCCAGCCATCCAAACTGTCTGAGAAGAGGTGTAGGTTTTCTAGCCTCATTCTATATTAACACAGATACAATTCCAGCATAAGTAATATAAGAATATAATTTATGTGTTTCTTTATCACTTTATTCATATTCAGTTATTTGTGTATTTTCTGTAAATATGGTCCGGCTTATAAAATGCTGAAATGTTTCGAGCAGGTTCTTTAGCTGACAAAAACCTGTAAATAATAAAAACTGCAAGTGGGAAAATCGTTGCAATGGAATTGCAGCTTCTGACATTGAACCATTAATCTTCACCATATTCTAGTTTTCTACAGCAGTTGCTATAGAACTTAACTATGGTTTCACTAAATATAAAAGCAAATAAAACCAAGAAAAACAGCTTCCCATTACACTACTACATTGAACATCAGTAGGAACTCAAGGTTTTGTTCAGCTTTTATGACAGCATCTTAAAAGTCTCCATTTAAGCAATGAGTGGTTTTTAGACCCATTTGAACAAGCCCCATGGATATTACTGAACCAGAGGCCACGTAAAAAAAAAAAAGTTACTCTGGTGCTTTGTGATCACCTTCAACCTTCTTCTCTTTTATAGTACCTCAAATGCTACTTTTGTTATAAACCTATTTGACTTGGAGAATGACACAGGTTTTCTGGCTAATATTCACTTCAAGTAAAAGGACTTGCAAGTAGGCTGTGCTAACCCCTGTATGAGTTAGCTCAGGAGTGAGAAGTAGTGCTTTAGTTAAGTGTTACCACATCATTTACCAAGCAAAGTGTATCTGTATTGCATGGCTTGCTTGCATTTGAATGAGATATTAAAAAAAAAAAATTGTCCATATTCAGACTTACATTCATTAGGATGCAACTGTCACCCAAGGTAGTTGGTAATTTCTCCTGGGTATACTGGCAATTTCAATAACTGTCCTCATGCCACAGAGATAGGACTTTACTTAATATGTCTGTAATTATTTTTTCTCCATTTTCCACTCCTTATTTGTGACTGAAATTCTGATGAACTTCACAAGAACAGTCTGGATTTGAGAGACTTACTACTCAAAGTGTAACTTTTTAAATAGAATTGTCATTTTCCTCACTTTGAGAGACTTCTCTAAGTTTCTCTTCATGAAAGCACTACAGTGGAGAATATGAGCTCCCAGATCCTACAGAATGCATACTGATTGCCTATTTTAGTGTTTCAGGATGATTAATTCCTCTTCTGGTAACAGTAGAAATATTAAACAGTAAATAAATATTAATGCCGACACAATACTTTGTGCACTGCAAAGTACTTAACTGATTTAATCTTCAGAAAGAGTATATAGTCAAAAAGTGTTAAGTAAAACCCAAAACTTGGCTGCCACCATGACCAAAGTTTTCTTTATATTTACTTGCATGTGTTTAGTGTTCTTTTTTCCTCTAGTATCCCTTCCAAGGCTCTGATTCCTTTCACAAACAATATAGAAGACTGGGATGCCATTTTCAGTTGTCACAGTTGCCTTAGTCTGAAGCAGCTAAAAGGCAGAATGTTCTGCACCTTATTCAGAGATGTCAGAGATTATTATGTGATTTATAGCTAGTGAATTCATATTTATAATGCTCATCAATAAATAAATCACTATTTTGCTGTAACTGTATCGTTTCTTCTTTTATTTTCTGGATCAGATTACAAAGAAAAGGAAGCAGAAGCAAGGCATTAAGTCTCTATTCTAATTTGATTAGGACCTTCTAAATGACCAGGAAGACTCTTAAAACTTGAAGCATAAAAATATACTTTAAAAAGCAGTCTTTTCATTGTGTGAAAAACAGTTTTATTGAAAGAAATTTAGCAAAATGTTGTTGATCCCCTAATTCAGTATTTAAAATTTTATATAGTAAAGAAAGAGAAAAAAAACCCAAACCCTCATAACCACTTTCATACACTACCATAACAATAATGTAATATAAAAAATATTCTATATAAAGTTTACAAACTACCAGATAAAACCACATATCACATAAATATGAAGCTCTTAATTTTCAAGATTTTGGGGATGAAATAATATTTATTGACATGAAACCTAGGTAAAGCTGGCTGAGTACAAAAATCACATTTTAATTTAATTGGTTTAAATTATTAATTGTGAAATAATGGCAAACAGCAGTGGGCTGTGTTTGATGTAAAAGGAGCATTTATGGAGATGCAAATAACTTAAGACCTGGGGGGGTAAATGCATAAATTGGTAAGCATATGAAATAATTTATTAAAAATTCAATAGATCTATTTATTAAGGGGTGGAAGCAGAGAGAAAACAAGGCACTGAAGAGCTTTTTAACCCTAAAAAATAAGCAGGTAAAAAGAAAGTAAGTAGAAATCAAAGTGAGGCGAGTTAAAATGGCAAAGAAGGCAAGAACTTTAAAAGCTGTGCTTATTAGTCAGTGAAAGAAGTCGATGCCATTTAAATCACTTCAACCAGTCCCACACCATGTGAACCAGTAAGAAGTTGATAAATTTAAACCACTCTTTTTTTTTTAAGCATAAATTTATTCAGACTAATGCTAATGGGACAGTGACACCACCAGCATGTGGATGAAAATCTGAAAATCTGTGGTCCATGTTAAAAAATTTGTCAAGCAAGATCATTTAATGATACTGCTTTTGACATTAAAATGTGTCTATGAGTCATTTTCAATAGAACTGCTGGAAGAATTTGCTGTCAATAAATATTTCTAATTTATTCTCCCAGAAGCTTGCTTCACCTTATCCTTTATTTTGGGGAGTAAAGCCCCTTTAACAGCCAACTAATTTTAATGTTGCAATTGAACAATATTCAATATTCCATAAAAGCAGATAATTCTATCACTAACTTCAGAAAGGCAGAGGGCCTTATCGTGTTCAGTATTTCAAATCTGATTTAACTGTATATGTCTTTTTGGTACCTCTTGATACACAGTTTTAACATGAGTGTTTTGAGAGTGTGTACATTTGTAAGTGTGTATAATTGAACAAGATTTAAGTATCTTAAATAAATTTGTAAATAGTTTAAATATTTAAACATTTTTTTCCATACAGGGGTAGAAAAAAGTTTGTTACGTATTTCAGATAAATTATAAAGAATAGCATAAGAAATTGCACTTCTCTGTCCTTTTTGTTCAATTACTTATGTTCTTCAGCTCATCCAAACATCTCCTTGTAATTGTGAGAAAATGCTTTCTATAGTTTAGTCACCTGCCTCCT